TGCCAGCATCATACCATTTTCTGAAAACATTCAAGAACTCTAAGAAATTCAATATAACTGACCTCAAAACTCTCAAACATGCGCTCGTTGGATTAGCATCTATCCACACGAAAAATCTTTCTGGATGTCCTTGAGGAGTCAGAGGGGTCACAGGATTGAGGACTGCTGCCTTGGAGCCTCAGCCCCACAACTATCGCACTTCCCAAAACTCCAATCAAAGCTTCAACATAACTGGCATCGTTCAACTGTCAAAAATCTCAAACATGCGCTCGTTGGAAAACTCTCAAAGCTCTCAAAACTCTCTATGTACTCTGAGTCCACTGCTTTCCTCCTGCTTCGCTTCCTCCTTCCCTTCCTGCTTCCTTGGTCCATCACCTTCGCGGACAACACTCTCAAAACTATTGTTTCAACTGAAATTGTAAGTCTCAACTGTCAAAACTCTCAACAACTCTCAACTCTCAAAACTCTCAAAACTCTTAGCTTTGTTTTTGTTCTTGATTTAGACAGGCCTGGAGCTTCATCATGTGTAGCGACATCTTAGTACCAAACACATTCAAAATAGATTGTCAGTATGCCAGGTAGTGCAGCTCTCAAAACTCTCTATACACTCTGAACTTTTCAAACACCAAGCTCTCCACCCTGTTGCTTAGCCGGCTTTGGATCTGAATCACACCAGCATCACAACATTTTCAGGACACATTCAAGAACTGGCATCGTTTCACTAGTCTTGATATCTCAGGGCCTCCAATGTATCTCTCGTACAGCGGGCCCGACAGGAATTTCCACGCACTCCCAAGCTCGCCTGCAGGAACATATATTTGTATGCATATGAGCTCTCAAAAAAAAAACTCTCAAAACTCTCCGCAACTCTTGGACAGCGGATGTCCTGCTGTTTGCTCTTCTTTGTCACCCATGGATCCTGCAAAACTGACAGTTGAGAACCGCGCAATTGCTCCTGAAAAGTGTAAAGTGGTCAATCCTGGCACTGGCTCCGCCAAGGGTGGCTTTCCTGGCCATTCTGAAGTCTGGCAAAAGTCCAAACTCTGAAAACTCTCAACTGAAGAAAAGTTTGCGTAGTCAAACAACTCTCAGAACTCTCACAACGCTGCAACTCTCCAAACCCTCAGTCCCTTTATCGTGGCCTTTTGGCTGCTTTTGTGGTGGGCCTGGCCACTCTGAAGTCGGAAGAAAGTCAGAGGAAAAGTTTGCGTAGGCTGTAACTCTCCAAACCCTCAGTCCCTTCATCGTGGCCTTT